AGTTCATCATTGATCGATAATCAACAGCACACAGTTGCTAGTATGTTTACATATGCGTACTATTGCGCATTGGGTGGATCACAATTTGATATAACAATAGTATTGGTATATCAAATTGCTTTATACCAACACCGTAAAAGTCATTTTATTTTTAATGTCTGTCTGTATGTATGTCTGCCTCTCTGTATGTGCGTATGTGATTTCAATCTATTTTGACAATAAAAGAAATTACAATACATTTACTTCTCTTGATTTTATATCTATCCTTGAGATTCTTAATGCGTTTCAGTAAACTTGTTATTATAACTACCTCAAAATAGTAATCGTTTTATGTGGTGGAGACATGTATCTATGGACACTTTGAATGTTGGCAGCTATCTGCCAATCTTCGAGCTTCACTTCTATTTACATTCTTTCTGAAAATAGTCATGTGACATAAGTCTGACCAATCATTGCTTGTTTGCGACGCCGAACAGGTCGGATGGTGCAAAATAGTTACACTACGACCGGTGACACAAACGGAGGGTTGACATACAATTTAATTGCCATAACTTGTCCGTTTAAATCAAAATTAGTAGCAGTTATATAAAGATTATGTTTGTTGTTTTTTTTTTTTGTCTTTAGGCATCTCTGTGGACTTGGATAAACGGGTAGAGATGAATTTCGAAAAAAACCCCAGAAATTATTGCAAAATGTTTAAGATATTGGAAAAAGCTATACTTAACACCAAGTAGTAAAATAACAGTTCTAAAAACTTTATTTTTTTTTTGAACTTCATCACTTGTTCATCTCGTTACAAAATACTCCGTTAAATTTCATTTGGGAATTAAATAAATTATTTTTCAGCTTTATATGGAAATCAGAAGTGGATAACGTTAAAACAGAAGTTATGCATCAAAGTTTTTTTAAAGGTGGTCTGGCAATGAAAGACACTAATAAATTTATATTAATTCTGAAAATGACGTGGAATCGTAGATTTCTTGTTTGAGCATGAAATAGGTGAAGTCAAATAGTTAATTACCTTCTTTTTAGTACAGATGAAAATATATTACATTGTCCCAAAAGAAAAAGCACCTTCTGGTGACGTTTTATCGGTTTGGAATCTTTTAATAGAGAAAAATATACACCAGACAGGAGAAGATCCTATGAAAAGAAATTTATGCATGAACTCGCTTATAAAGGTTAACAAGGTACTAGTGTTCTATAAGAAAATGGTGTCAATATAATGTCATTTATTTTTGGGATATGCTTACAGAGGATGGATTTATTAATTATTTGAAAGCTGAATATGGTCTCAACCTGATTTTACTTTATTTTTTCAAGGCATGATTATCTTTGTCACGTTCTTTTTTAAAAAGTCAGATATCAGCTATCACTTTCCATTTATATAGTGACTTTCATACTTAAAAATGGCGTAAAGACCATTACAAATCACTCTTGAAATCGGATTTTAAACCAAGTAGTGAAAGGAGATGGAATTAAATTTTCAATCTGAATATATGTGGCTTTACGTATATACTAAAATTCTGTAAAATGACAAGAACTTAACAATTATAATGGTTTCATTATTGTGTTACTCAAAAATGTTTGTCAATTAATTAATTTTTGTATAAAATACATTTGTTAGATACCGATAAAATTACCTTTTGTAAAAATGTACCGGAAACAATGCTGCATGCGTTTTTGGACTTTGATGTGATAAACTGGCTGTGGAATGATGCGTTCCAATCGATACGGAATAATGTGAACATAGCTATTGTGCCAAGTGCAAAAAATAAAACATAATATTGGGAGATACGAGTGCAGACATATCATATGAGCAACCTTCATATTTTTTTTGACATATATTACATCTATACATGCAAAATGATAAATTCTGAGCATTGGTTAGAGTGGTTCAAAAAAATTCTTAAATACCAATAGTCTTTGGAATAAATATACCTCAATAAAATCTGAAAGGAAGGAAACGTTCATGTTGATAAGGGAACAGTTGGAGCCATTATTAAACTGTTAACAAAGAAAATTCATTTTAGGATTCCAATGCGTGTTTTATAGCATGATGTATATTATATCATAAAGTCGGTTTGCAATGCAAAATAGAAGAGGAATCAGCCTGAAAACCAAGATCAAGGTGTACTGCGCAGTAGTACTGCCCTCTCTCTTGTATCCCCGTGAGACATGGACGGTGTACAGTCGTCATGAAAGACAGCTAAACTCCTTCCACATGCGCTGCCTCAGAAAACTGCTCCACATCAAATGGCATGACAAGATTCCTGACACATAACTCCTCCAGAGAGCCGAGATGACAAGCGTCCATGCCATGCTCAGAAGAGCACAGCTCCGCTGGGCTGGCAATGTCAGCCGTATGCCTGATGAGCGCATCCCGAAAAGACTGTTTTATGGGGAACTAGCGTTCCAGAAGAGGCCAAAAGAAGCGGTACAAGGACATGCTCAAAACCTCAATAAAGTCCTGTGGCATTGATCCAAACAGCTGGGAGCAGCTTGTCGAAGACCGCGATGCCTGGCGCTAACAGATCAATTCAGGCTCTGCTGCTTTTGAAGAGCAACCGATCATCGAGGACAAACATAAACGCCGGCAGAAGAAGAGCGCCAACCCTAAATCGATCCAGGCCCCGGCAATTCCCAGCCTTCATTGCCCTAGACACTTCAGAGCGCGGAATAGCCTCACCAGCCATCTGCGCACCCACAGAATAGCCTAGACGTGAAGTCATAGTCGTCTTCGAGAACGAAGGACAAACAACAACTTTATACTGCCACACACCTACACACACGTACGTACACACACGCGATGTTTAATTTATGATAAAAATCACCCTCCCCACCCATCATACTAGATTTAGAAACCCGAGGTCTATTTGATCAATAATAATAAATGATCATAATGATAAGTTCATCAAAGCAATTTGTATAAAATTGTGTTGGTGAAGGTTAAATATTTTCCTTTCAAGCGACTCTCGACGAGTTCTCAGTTGCTTTATTCGGTAGCCCTCCTTTCGTTCCTTACACGAGTCTAACCCTGGTCGGACTGAATCGGCAGCATCCCCCAGGACCCAACAATTGAATAATTTTTCATTTAAAAAAAAAACCCTTAATATATTCAAACTTTATTCCTTCAAGCGCTTTCGCATCATCGTCAGTCGTCGTGGATTCTCTTCGGATAGGTACAGTGTTCTGTTTAAGTATATTTGTAAATATGAAATATAACAACTTCTTTACATCTATTCATCGTTCCTTTGTACAAAACTAAATTTGCAAGATTAATTCAGGATTTACATCAGTGGTTCCCACTCTTCGTGTCGCGAAGACATTCAGGAGTGTCGTCAGAATAGTTTTTAAGGTGGTAAAACGTATTAAAATGTGGAAAGAGTTTGTCAGGCTCATGAAAAAAAATGTTTTAGATTCACCACCCAAAACAATAGGAACAACAAACAAAACTAAACAAACTGGAGACAAATGCACTCACAGTAGTACAATGTTACAAAAGTCGCTAGTAGATCAAAATATTGATACAGTGTCTAAAGTGTTCCGTACAAATTAAAAGAAAGTACATTTTAAAAATTTACCGAGTACAGTGGCGTTTCTAGGATTGGTGTCACCCATTGCGGTAACTCATAACTCATGGTGTCACCCCCATGGACCCCCTTCCTGTACAAAAATTCAAACATTTTATAGACAGTCATGTGCGGTATCTCGTAGTGTCTCCCCCATAGACATCCTTCCTAAAAAAAAAGTAATTAAAAAAAAAATGTATTTACAGTAATTTTGGTGTCACTACCTCTGATGGTATCACCCAGTGGGGTCTGCACCCCCCCCCCCAGGGACGCCACTGACCTAATGTTGTTTTTGTATTTTTTATTTTCGGTTACGAGATGTAAATGTATCTGTGTATTCGTACAATGTATATAACATGTCCAGTTTTATTCTGAAATGATTACTCTATATAGGGTTAGTTGTAGAGTGCACAGGGCCAGATTAAGGTCTTTGGGGGGTCCCGGGCACAGCCAACATAGGGGTCCATATCTACCCTGCCTTGTCCATTGATATGGTTACAGCACTATTGACATCACTGTTAGTCCGAGTTTCCTCTGAATCGGACTACAACACTGCCAGTGAATTCAGACGATAATATACGGTGCACCTTGAGTCTCGGGGTTCGGACCGTGAAATCAGACGATAATATACGAGGCCCCTTGACCCTCAAGGCCCTGGGCACGATGCCAAATTTGCTTTATGGATAATTCGGCCCTGGTGTGCATATGAAATTAAGTTCCTTTTCTTCTCCTAAATATTAATTATCAGTAAATAATTCATGCAATGGAAAAACTTTGAACTTTCTTCCTAAACAGTTCTGTAGATGATTATGAACTGTTAATAATAAAAGTTAACAATCTCCGATATCATGTCCTTGTTTGCTATCCATAAACTGTCATTTTTTAAAAAATACTTTTGCACGATGTGTATATGAAAAGTTTTGGATATTTTTATAAATTTTTTTTTGTTGTTTATTTAAACCTGTCAATACATTTTTGCAAATCGATAAACATAATAACTTTCTAACAATTATCTGGACCTGCACGCACAGCATGCCTTACACCTACTGATATACATCAAACGTGACATTGGTAAATGACTGGCGTCAGAGGGATACCTTTTAGATACATGTTATATTATACTGTATAATTCAGGCGCTTTCTCGGTACTCGCAGACAGATACTAATGCCGATATGTGTGTGTGTGTGTGTGTGTGTGTGTGTGTGTGTGATATTTGTTTTTTTGACGTAGCTTTAACAATTTCAGTCATATCGCTCCGATGACTTAAGTGTGGCAATTTATAGCGATGCCTAAGCACTGTAGTATAATGTACCACCTACTAACCAATCACATTATCCTGATACATGCTGTCCATTCCAAATACTAACCTTTCAATACTGTGCGCAAAGTGAGGCAGCTGCAAGTGTTATTTATATAAGTTTGTAGTTTGACTCAGACGGGGTTAGAACCCACGACCTCTCGCATGTGAAACGGACGCTTTAACCACCCAGGCCACGGCAACTCACGGTATCATTTCCATGGCCCTCCTTGATGCACAAAAATCCAAAAATTGTATAGACAGTAAGTTTGGCGTCTTTCCCTCTGATGGTGTCACCCAGAGCGATCCGCATCCCCTTGAAAACCCTCAGTGACGCCACTGATTATGCCGAATCCGTTATCAAAGATTCATTAAGGTATAGACGATTTAAAAGCCGCAATGCAGTTCCAAGTGCATTTTTTCACTGTACGAACAACTAGACCAACAAGTAGGTATCTGCTTTTCTTTTTATATCTGACAGCAGCTGTCAGATATAAAAAAGCAGACCTACTTGTTGATCTATACGGACAACATACCTAAATGAGTATAAAAAATGGTCTCTATTAACTGGACAGTCAGACAAAAAGAATATGTAACAGCGAATTAAGAGTACTCTGACAGACTGCACTGACATGTCACTAACGAATAGAAATTCATTGTATAGATGACTAACATCCAGACTTTTTAAACATCTGTCATAAAAGGTCTTACATTTAACACGTATTAGTGATCCCATGACGCCTCGGGTTTTCTTTGATCATGATGAAGCAATAAATCCCGTAAATATATTTTATTCCTTCTAGTTATCAATGTCATGTCCGGTCCATGAACATGTGTTCCTCTAAGCATATATGAAAAATTGAAAGGTAAATTTTGTATATTGGATTAAGGTAGAATTATAATTATATAGATGTGTCAGGCAGTGCTAAACTGTCGAAATTGAATTTGATCGTTAAAGTCATCATTATCATCATGACGATGATTAAATGGTCAGGCATGTAATCACTGTAAAACTAATCGAATGGGACATGATAGGGAAAGAACTCATATGAAAATTATGTTTATGTTCTTCGTTAGCAATGACTCAATTTTCATCATTCAAAGCATGAATTCAGTAAGACTGGCTTGCTAAATTAAACAATTTTAAATGGTGTCTACCAAATTTATGTAGTTTGTTACACAAAAAATCTACCCCTCTCAAGTCCTTGATCAAAATAGTAACTATAACACATGCATCTATTTTGAACATTGATGATTATATGCATATATATTAAAACAATCCTACGATCAGTTGATTCGAGGTTGTGTCCCATACATCTAGATATTCCATCGATCAGAACGGTTTCTCTGACGTCAAGAGCCGGATTTTCACACAATTTGATAAAGTAATTTCATCCTGTCTAGTTTCCTCTCAAGCTGATGACAATATCCCCATTTGATTACGGCGTGTATTGTTTCAAAAATTGATCAAATTTATGCAGTATGTTGGTAGATTTATTACAAGGTATAGAACAGGCGTACTAGTTACAGTCTGGCTTTCGCAAATTAGGTCAGTAATGACGCAAGTCGAGCTTCTTCGCATAGTTACAGAGGTATAATTGAACAGCGCTGCAAAATATAGTCCTAAAAGCAAATCATTGTTATCCAATACTACTGAAGCAAATTCACTATTAAAAGTAAAATTTCTCAAAAGTAAGATGTGTAAATCATAACAATGCTAAAGTGCAGACAGAAAATAATATAAAGAAAAAAATTGTTCACTGGTAGGCGCATTAATACGTTAAGTGCCCTAGACATGATGCTTGTAGTTTCCTTTTCCTAAAATAGATTGGCAGATCAGTTTGGTATCAGTGAGTAGCAAAAATAGAAACCTACAAGTTATTTTTGATCAAAACAACTGTGTTCAGGTACGGGTTAATGCATTATCGTAACCTTCGTAAATTTACAAACATTCTCATATTCAGGTGAAACGAAGAGTAGTGTGAATTCGGGTTTTGTGGATATTTAAGCACGTTTTAAAGGAGTCATTTTTACCCGCGTGTCTAAAGGCAAACTTTGCTTCACTTCCAGAATGGTAATGTATGTTATACGCAATTTTGCTGCACTCGGAGCCATGAAATGTCGCATGATACATCGTTTTATGCTCAAAATTGTACATATAATTCATATCTCGTGTTGTAGGTACTACTGAATGAAAAGAAACGGGATGACATCTGGTTTATGGAATGTTTATTTGAGTATCATCTCAGACGCGAGCAGTTGACAGCTCTTGAAGCAGACGACGTTTTCCTTATTCGTAAGGTTAGTGCACCGCAACCATTCCGTTTCTTCCTCTAGTTCTTCCTTTCGTTCGATAGAAAACAAATGTTTATTTTTTATGAAAAATAAATTTCTGATTTTTATTCATCATTAAAAAGAAACAATTTTGATCCATGGAGATAAGCAAGTTATTTAGACTAGCTTCCATGGCATCTATAAATAATTCAATGTTAGGAAGCAGGCGCTGATTTAGGCCTCGTTGAATGACTGGCTTTTACGTCATTGGTACGTCAATCTCCATTTGTTGTTAAGAGCAACACATTCCCAAGGCAATGGTTGTGCACTAGGGGGTTTTAATACGTACATGACATAATTTTGATAAAATTGGACACCCAGACATGCGAGACATCGAAATGAGTTAGGCATTTGGCTTCATCGGATACAATAAGAGGTGTTATATAATGTTATAGTAGTCCTATAAATCGGCAACTTCATTTGATACTGGTGGAGGACCAGTTCTCACAATGTTCCACTTGTGGACTTGGTACTGGTATAATTCAGAGCTAAAATTCTACCAACTTAGAGATTGGTCTACCTTTAAAATTACTTCACAGAATGTTAATTAGAAGTGTGCATTAAAAAAATAATAACTTTGAATCCATTATGTTAGCACTGTGGCAGCAGTTGGCATGCTGCAAAGATTGGTCCATGGCTAGTACATGTTAGGGGACTGATGTTTTGTTTTTGACTAATGGTATAGTCATCAGTTCAAAATTTTTCTCTTGCTTAAGATTTACCTGTGTTGATGAATTTGTCATATATAGGATATTCTACATCAAGAGTTAATTATTGTATGATGATTCTAACCTTTCCTGGGTTCTTATTTATATTTTTAATGAATATCTCTAGCCTGAGTTTTCTTCGACCCAATAGAAGAAGTCCTCAGCACAGAAGTATTTGAGAATCACATTAATATTCTCCTTTATTTTCAAAAGTTATACATATGGAACTATTTTCATAATTTATAATTAAGTTAGTCTGTTCATCTGTGAGTGTACATGTCTCTATTGATCATTTAATACATCTTGTCTTCCACCCTGTGACACAATGTTTGTTTTTCTTCATGTGGATGAAATTAAGAAGTATTTTGAAAAATGCTGTAGTTTTCAAATAAATACAGTTTATATAGCAAAATTTATCAAGTATTTATTTAGTTTTTACCTTTATCATTAATTTTATGCCCCAAAAAAGAGTACATCTCTGGTTGGTTTACCATCCCCATTTCTCATTGCTGACTTTATCATTTGTTTCCCATATGGTAAAATAAGTTGTTTCTAAATAATAAAAAAATGAGACATTTTTCAACCAAATTTGGCAGAAAGCATCTTAGCACGAGGTGATTTCACATTTGTTCAAAGGATGCAGACCTACCTGTAGGTATAACAATTGTTTCTAAAAATAGAAAATTTCTCTTGCTGTATAATGTAGCAACTCTAAATTATAGCTGCAAAGTTTAGTTGCATTTTGTCCAGTGTGTATGATGCAGATAACAATTTTTCTCCGAAGACAGTGTTCTGAGCTAAGTGTTAGGTGAAAACCATGTTAACAAATGTAAGGACCAAATACAAGGATTTGCTTTTCATACACCTCAAAATGTTAAACTTTTTTGATATGTTTTTTTTTGTTTGAATTTTAGAACACATGTCTGTAAATACATATTAAAAATCTATTTTATAAACACACATTTTAATCAGTTTTGGTATGCTGTTAAAAATATTTAAGATAAAAAAATAAAATACATTTTACTAAAAAGCCAAAATATTCCCCCAAGAAGTAGGATGTCCTAAAGAGTTGAAAATGGTACTTCTAGTTTGAGAATAAATGGATTTGAAGAAGGTATATCATGGTACTAAGGTTTGATATGAGAAGTTTTAAGAGCTATCCACTATTTCAGGAATAAAAAACTGGAATGTCACACTTTGGAATGAAAAAGCATTGCTGATTTTTGTGTTCATTAACATTTGTCAGAACAGATGTAAACTATTGCGACTGGTAAATTTTAGAGTTTGATACATTAAGTGTAAAAAAAATAGATTATATTTCTTAGGTAGACCAGGCGAAGAAATGTAGTCTATTCCTTTCCAGAGACTAAACCAAGCAAAAAGCTGTCAACAGGCCCTTAAATCCATCTTTTTTCATTGTTGGAATATCTCACAAGAACCACCTCAATTCCTCCCCCCAGTGTAAAAATAAACACATTTTACCATCTGATTTAAAAGCAGATGGTATAATTATTCACTTGCACCTATTTTAGGTGCTAATTAAGTAATCAACAGCTTGACATAATGATTTTTGCCTGGACATTTTGTTATTTACTTTGCCAAAATTTTGATTTAGGTTTGTGGTTGAAATGAAGACAGTAGCCTTGATAGGAATAATCAAAGATTATGTATGCAGACACATGTGGCAGAATCCCTTGAGGAATGGCTAATAGTGATCATTGCACAATGAGACATCAAATTAATAAAAGTTTAATGGGCAAGGGAAAATACCAGTACTGTGCATTCATTACATGTGTATGATAGGCAAAAAGGGGTGGAGATGTTTTAGTTCTTAGAGATGACAGAAGATTAAGTGATTAATTGTATTGCATTTGAAGGCCCACTTTTTTATTGTTTACTGAAGGTGTTGTGCTTTCTCAACCAAGGCAACAAAACAATCTTGGTATGGAACAATAGCAAGCTTTTTCATTGAAAAGTTTGCCATTTAATGGACTAAATGTCTCAGCACTTTATTGGTGTCCAAATTTTGGTGACTTGAATTTATGTGTTTTGCTTTGTGTGAAATATCTTTTTTTTTTCTTCTGTCTTTTGATTCACAAACCCAGAAATAGAGAAGGTGTAGTATACCATACCATTATTTACATTTCAGAAGTCAGTCAG